GTGGCTGGATCGATCCCTGGGGCGGGCGCTGGCTTGTGTGTCTGCCTCTCCTCTGCCTCTGGGCCCCTGAGAGACTGGCTGCGACTCACCCTCCCCTCTGCACCCCACCTCCAGCTTCTGCCAAGCCTGGTGCGGAGCACGGGGTTCGTAGGTAGGAACTGAACTGAATGGAATTGTGGAGTTTATAGATGACTGCTCATTTCACTTTCCTGGATACTCTCCAGAAGTTTTCTAGAGGCAGTCTAGATTTGCCGATCCCTCCCAGGGCCCACGGCCCGGTTAGAGCATCAGATGGCCCCAGAGGTCAGATTCCTCAGGGTGGGGAGAGTAGGGACAGAGATCGCAGGGTAGACTGCAGTGACTCCAGTCCACAAGTCGTCACTGGGTTCCATGGCTGAGAGCCAAGCCCCCAAGTGAGGTGGCCTGCTCCAGCCACTGCGGTATCATCACTCATGATTCTGCGAGTCACCTAGGCTGTCTAGGTGGCTCTTCTCTGTGCGACAGGGGCCAGGGCTGCAGGCCAAGTGGTCGCACATGGGACCAGCACCGGGGCAGGGACGGTTGGAGCCGGCTCAGCTGGGCACTGGAATGGAAGGGTCTCCCTTGCTCCCCCTCCCTCCACCAAAGCCCACTCTCCCATCCATTTACTCACTTGCACAAACGACATCCACCCGGCATCTGTTCAGTGCCTGGTGCTCACAGGGTGAGACAGACAGGTCCCTGGGCTCGGGGAGGGCCTCCCAAGTGCAGTCTAGAAGGCAAGCACCCGTTAAACACATAGACCTGTGTTGGGACCAGCAGTTAGCGTAATGGCTATGTCACTGGATTCCCACGTAATCGACCGTGGTTCGAGTCCTGGACCCGGTGGCTTAAACTCACACTGGGCGTGTGTGCGTGCGTGCCCAAGATTCCGAGAGGAGAATGGAGGAGAAGGGATTGCAGTGTGGCCATCCTCCCTGGGGGGCAATTACTCGCTTTCTGTTTCTGTCTCTCTGTCTGTCTGGCGAGCTCACACGCCCTATAGCAAAAACCTCTCAAAAAAAAACAAAACAAAAAAACCCACATAGACCTGTGTAATAAACGCGGGATTATAGACGGTGGGGGAGAGGTTCAGGAGGGGATGGCAAGCCCTGGTGTGGGTGACACGGAGGCATCTCCATGCGAGTGAGAATGGTGGATGGAGGGAACAGCATGAACAAAGTCCTGAGATGGAAAAGAGCGAGGGCTCCATGAGACCTCCAGGACCAGGACTTGGGCCCTCGGCGGGTGGCCGCCACTTGCTGCTTGAGCAAACCTGGGTCCCTATAGGAGAGTGAAGGTCTGGTTCCAAGGTTGACCCAAACTGGACAGGCTGGCTGGGAAGGCTGGGAGCGGGGTGGGGGATTGCAACGTGAGACCGGATTGAAGCTGCTGGTCTTTCTCCTTCCCCCCTCCCCGCTTCTCTCTCCCTCCCTCCTCCCCCCATATCTCTCTCCCTCCCCCCTCCATCTCTCTCTCTCTCACATGGAGGAACTAAATTAATCTTTAAGCAGACTACTAGAAGTTGCCCTACGGTTGGGCTTTGCGAGGAGAGGGGTGAGGGGTGTCGGGTGACCCCTGGAAGTAGCCTCAGTCACACAGGGCCACAGGGTAGGCGAGGCTGCGGGCTTCATGATGAATGTCTTCAGGTGCCACCAGAGGCTGCGGAACAAGGAAGGGGCCTGAGCTGATCTGTGCTGTCCTGAGATCATTGGCTACTCAGTGGAGATCCACACGGCCGAGGGCAAGAGTGGGCAAGGCAGTGCCACGGAGGGTCTGCGGGGCCACTCCCCCACCCCTGGCCTGGAGTGGCCCATGTCCCTGCCCACTGGTGTTGGCTTAGCCCTGTGGAGTGTGAGCAGCAACCCCAAAGGTACATGTCAGCTGCAGCTGGGCATCCTGGGACCCCATGAGCCCCACGAGAAGAGCAGGCCCAGGGCATGCTGGCCCAAGGAGGGTGCAGATGCAAGGGCAGACCTGGCACAGCCTGCTCCAGAGCAGCACCTGCCAGCCCGGTCTGCAGCAGGGTTGTCAGCCTCACCCTCCTAGATCGGCCACCATTGCCCGGCTGCCCGTGAGTGTGAGAATGAAAACCTGCTTCTGAACCTGGGCTGTTTGTTCCGCAGCATTGTCGTAGCAACAGCTGACTGTGGCAGGAGGCACAGTGGACCGCCATCAGCCTGGCCCTAGGGATGTACATGGTGAGGGGACTAGAAGGTAAATCAAGGAAGACCCCCAGACTGTGGTCAGAGAGCCTGGGTACCTTCACTGAGTATGCAGTTTTGAGACACTCAGGGGACATCCCAGCTAAGGGGACATTTCCTGGGCCCTCTGCAGACTCGGTCGCCTCCCCATTGGACTGTGAGCTCCCAGGAGCAGGCGCAACTCACCCCCAACCACCACGTGGGTGCACAGTCTCAGTAACTACATGCTGGTGATGACATGTGTCAGGGCAAAAGAACACCATGGCATTTGAGTGGCATGATCAGGTTTGTAAATGAGGAAGATGCCCCAGGCTGCCTGGAGGAGGAGTATAGGCAGCCGGGAGGGAGGTGGGGAGGCCGTTGAGGAGGCTGTCTCTACTGTCCATGGGCAGATGGCAGGACTGAGATCGGGGGTAGTGGTAGGGTCGAGGGGTGGACTAGGAAGCCAATGGTCCAGGCCCAGTGACCAGCAAATGCAGGGATGGGAGAGGGGCGGGCCCTGGGGCGACCCTGCCTTAGAGGAAGTAACCGCCAGGCCTGGAGAGAGAGCACTCCAGATGAAGTGGCCTCAGCCAGCAGGTGCGTTCCTGGCCCAGCGGGCCATGATTTCATTGCTAGGAGGGGCTGAGTCTGCATCAGACCTGATGCTCAGGTGTGCTAGGTGGGCACTCAGGAGCGGTCGTCCCCGAAGGAGTGAGCCCCGGCATGTTGTCCCCCCTGCCCACACCGCCCATGCTTCCTGTCTCCCCAGGTTCTCGCTGCCTTCCCACAGTGTTCTCTTTCCTATCTAAGGGGCTGCTGGTCCTCAGCCGAAGCCAGTGACTCGCCCCCTGTCCAGTGACTGCTGGGCACAACATGGTGGGTAGAGCCCTGGGCTGGGGGTCCTGAGGCCTCGGGCAGAAGTGCTGCCCGCAGACAGAACGCCACCCTGACCAGCTATGGCACAAGGAAGTAAGTCCACCGTTTCCTTTTCCTTCGTTCCATAACCCGGCAGCTACTGGCCCTGGTTCAGCTGCCGACATGCTGTCAGAGACGCTTTCCGCTCCCCTCTTCTTGACATGTTGACTTGTATCTTCACGCCTGTGGCCTCAGCTTGCAGGATGGCTGCCACAACGCCAGACATTCCTTAAGTATTCAAACGGGGGAAGAGCAGTGTTGGTTCTGTCTTTTGGTTGTTGCTGTTTTTGCTTTAGAGTATGCGTGCTCGTCAGAGAGAGACAGAGACAGGAAGGTGGAGTGAGAGAGTACCCCCGCCCGGAGGCAGGCGTGACCATGTCACAGGCCCTTCTCCTCGGCTCTCCTTTCAGGGTTTTGGGCCTGTGCTCACCTAGTGTGATTTTCAAGCTGGGACTCAAATCACACAGTCGCCCTGTGGGATCTAACTGCCTGCACCAGCGTGCCCCCAGCTGTCCTGGTTTTGTCATTTTCTTAATGGATGAACACAAAGCCTTTCGCAGAAGCCACCGTTGCCGCTGACTTTCATCTATGTCTTCTTGGCCAGAACTGTGAGATGTTGGCCCCAGCTGCAAAGCCACATGGGAAACAAGCATCTGATAGGCTACCAGGCCCTTTGCTGCACTAAATGGAACTAGGCCGTCTCTGTGGGACCCTGCCTATGTGGGTTTTAATGTTTCAGAGGAGAAGTGACTTTAGAAACGTCCATCTTGTCTGAGCTGAAGCTAAGAAAAGCAAAGGGGCTTCCCCACTGCACCCACACCTTTCAAGAGGTTGAGGTCTGGGAACTGAGTAGCTGGGAGTCCTGCCTGGGAAACTGAAGGGGTGGGGTGCAGCCTGGAGCTCAGGGAGGGCAGAGGTGGAGCCTGAAGCACTCTGTGGGTGGGGACTGGGGGCCTTCCGCATCATCAGGGACAACCCCTAGTGGGCCAGACTCTAGAGCGCTGGCCCCTGGTGGACAGGGACTGCGGTGCACTTCCAGAGCACATGCAGCCCACACAGGCAAGGGGGTTAATACACGTAAGGAGACTTTCACAAAAGTTCATGGGGAGAAATAGAATTAAAGCATAAGATTATTTTGGAACAAAGTTCAAGATCTTTGGATAGTTTGTTTGTTTTTGGAGAGGTTTTTGCTATAGGGCATGTGAGTTCGCCAGAAAGAGAGACAGACAGAAAGTGAGAAATCACCCTCCATGAGGGATGGCCACACTGCAATCCCTTCTCCTCCATTCTCCTCTCGGGATCTTGGGCACGCACGCACACACGCTCCTGGTGTGAGTTTAAGCCACTGGGTCTGGGACTCAAACCACAGTCGACTACAGGGGAGTCCAGCGACATAGCCATTATGCTAACTGCTGGTCCCAAGACCTCTGGCTAGGTTTTTCACAATATGCATTTCGCAGGAACTTTTTGAAGACCCCTCGTATGAGCTGGACAATGAATGTGTTCTGGGTAGAGATGGGACGTTGTCCCCAGGGGTGGACATCAGAGAGTTACCTGTAATTTAGCCAACACTGAGGCAGGGCTGGCTCTGTGTGAGAACTTCATCCATTGCAACAACACCCATTGCTCTTTAAAAAAATTCTCACCTTGAGTCAGAAGGTGGCATGGAGGTTAAGGCAGCTGGATCCTACATAGCTGACTGTGAGGTTCAAGTCCCAGACCCAGCAGCTTAAAAATCATATCAGGCACAGGACCAACAGATGGCGTAATGGCTACGTTGCTAGATTCCCATGTAGTCAACCATGGTTCGAGTCCCAGATCCAGTGGCTTAAAACTCACGCAGGACGCGTGTGTGAGTGCCCAAGATCCCAAAAAGAGAATGGAGGAGAAGGGATTGTAACGTGGCCATCCCCCCTGGGGGGTGATTTCTCACTTTCCTTCTCTCCCTCTCTCTCTCTCTCTCTGTCTCTGTCTCTGTCTGGTGAGCACACACACCCAACAGCACATTACAAAAACAAAATCTTGGGTCATTTCCATGACCTTCAACAGTGGGGTGAGGGTTTCTGGGTGCTGACACTCAAGTTCTACATCCCAGCCCAGCGCTCAGTCTCCATGTGGGAACCGACCCCACTACACTAGGACACAGGGTCCAGGCCCTAAGCGGGGTCAACCGGAGTAAGCTTTAATTCAAACAGCACCTGGGACAGACACATTTTCTTCCTTCCTTTCTTTCTTTCTTTTTCTTTCTTTCTTTTTTTTTTTTTTTAAGGCTTTTTTGCTATAGGGTGCATGTGCTTACCAGAGAGACACAGAGAGGCAGAGAGACAGAAAGCAAGAAGCACTCCCCACCCCCCAAGGGAGGATGGCCACACTGCAATCCCTTCCCCATTCTCCTCTCAGGATTTTGGGCACGCACGCACACGAGCCTGGCATGAGTTTCAAGCTGCAGGGTCTGGGACTTGAACCATGAAAGTCCAGCTACATAATCATCACACCATTTTCTGGTCCCCAAACACGTTCTTTTTGGCTGAGCTGGACTTTGGAAGAATGAAGCCCTGAGAGTCACCTGCCTGAGAATGAACGGCCACCGGAGGGCAAGGAAAGAGGTTCCCGAACATAAGCTGCAGCGACACCACATGAGCCCCGATTTCCAAACTTGACTCAATACATTTATTTCCTGTGCAAGCAGGTTGGATTGGGCTTGTATTTGCATTGCGAAGTCCAGACTGGAGAGGATAGACGTTCCAGGACTCCCACGGTGAGTGCCGCTCAGGAGCCTGTGAGTAGAACAGAGAGTCCCGGCTGAACCCAGACTCTTACTTGGCTGGGCAGATGCCCACAGAGGCTGAGAGAATTCATTTGACTTCTGTTGTCCTAAAAAAAGAATTCGGACCGGAGGAGCCAGCTCTGAGACACTCGTCTGTGCTCAGGAGCAGGGCTTCCAGACAGAAAGACCGCCGGGTTGCAGCAGACGGCCTCAGCAGGTAGCGAGAGCCCTGTCCTGGAGCATCCGAGCGACGGTGGCAACCCTCTGGTCTGAAGCTTCCAGAAGGGCTCAGGCGCCAGGCGGGACTGGAGGAGATGGGCAGGGGAGGTCAGTGCAGCAGCTGCAGCTGCAGTAACACGGTGGCTTCCTGGGTCTCGGGGCTCCTGGGAAGGCAGAGGCAAGAGGCGACAGGGACACAGCTCTCCTCTGCCAGTGCAGCGGAGAAGACACAGGCCAAGCTCTGCAGCCATCTGCTAAGAAACACCACCAGGAGGGGACAGCATGGCCCACAGGGGCACCAGCAGCTTTGGGTACGGCCCTGGAGGGTCGGGACGCCTGGGTACACCCTGGGAGGAAGACAGGCAGAAGGTGAGAACTACAGACAGGCAGGACCCATGGCGCCAGCTCTCCCAGCTCCTGGCTCACTCCTGCGGCCTCTGCTCAGCTGGGCCTCCCACCCTCGAAGTCCTCTCCCTCTAGTACTGCCCTCCAGGAAACCTTGCCACCTGCTCCAACCCACCGCCCCAGGGTCACAGAGCTCAGTCTTCCTGCCTCCTCCCACACGCGTGGGTGTCCGGTCTCCCTGGCTCTCTGGGCTCTCCTGGGGGCAGGGGCCAAGGCTCCCTGGCCAGCTAGTCCTCCCCACCATCCCAGCAGGAGTGGGCAGAGTGGGAGCTCGGTGACACCCCTGTCCTGGCTCAGGTTACGCTTGGGCCTGCTGTCTGGAAAGTGGGATCCCCAGGGCAGGAGGGCTCGGGCAGATGACCAGAAGGCTGGGGAGACTGCGGCCACCTCCATACCTGCCCCCCATTGTCCTAGCCTAAGTGACACTCTCGTGTACCCGTGTACCGAGGGCCAATGCTCAGTGGCTGGGGCTGCCCCTCCTCGCAGAGCCTGCTGAGGGAGCGGGGCGGGAGGGCTCGGAGCAGTGGGGAGGGGCTCTTACCCCTAGAGGAGGCTGCAGGGGCGCTTCTGCGGCCGCGTGGGCTGCGGGCACAGGACCGCTCGGATCGCCTCATCAAAGACGGTTTTCAGGCCTCTCTGGGTGAGGGCCGAGCACTCCAGGTATTTCACAGAATCTGGGTGGGGGGTGCACAAGAGCAGAGGCCCAGGTCAGAGGAGGGCTCTGGGCGAAGGCCAGGCCATGGGGTCCCAGCCCAGGGGTCTCCTGGGAGCTGTGTGATTCCTTCCCAGGCAGGAACCGGCCTCCACGCCCAGTTTCCCCATGTCTGAACAAAGGCGCTCGAGTCCAGCAGGAGGGGCCGGGACCCGGGGGCAGACATGTCTTTCCGACGCCTCCGCCCCTAGACAGGGTGTTGCTACCTTCCTGGGAAGTGGAACCTCAAGCCACAGGGACCACATCTCTCGGAACCTCGCTCTCTGCTAGAAGATAGCCTCGTGTGTGCCTCCTGGCCTCAAAGCACATAGCTGCCCTCCACGCCCCTCACCAGGGCCGTCCGCATATCACTGGCCATGCCTTAGCACCAGCCCCATTTTACAGATGAGGGAACTGAGGCTCATCGAGGATATGTGACCCCTCCCGGGGCACTGGGAGCCCTCGGGGGGGGGTGGCATGGGAAAGGGAGCACTCCTCCCTCCCCGTGAGGACGGCCTCAGGCCACGTGACCGCTCAGGCTGCGGGGCACAGACGGCAGGAAGGCAGGGCAGGCTGAGTCCAGCTCTGGGAAGGGTCTCCAGGGCCTCCTAGAGGAGCCTGTATGGTTTCCCGTGTCCACCACAGCCCGAGCATGTCCCTGAAGTGAGGAAGCCAAAACCCCTCTGCAGACAGGCCCACGCCAGGGCAGCGTCAGAGCCGGGGAGGAGGCAGGAAGGGCTGCTGCTTCTCTGCAGCGCCTTGCTCCTCCATGGGCCAAGGACCGACCGTCAGCACCTGCTCTGTGCCAGGCCTGAGCAGGCGTGTCCCCTCCTCACAGACAGGACTCAGGCCAGAGCCAGGATGCACCGGCTGGGAAGAGGGGAGTCATGACCACAGGAGGGGCAACCCCTACAAAGAAGCCCCCACGAGGCCCGGGACCAGGGACAAGGAAGAACAGGGCAGGGGGAGGAAGATGAGGTGCAGAGAGGACGTCACTTGCCCAGAGTCTCACACTGGGTGTCGTCCTCTGCCTGGGAAGACAGGCCCAGCAGGGCCCATGGCAGTGGCCCAAGACCGCAGCTCCCTGGGCTCGGCCGGAGGGGGTCACGGGGCCCTTGGACACTGTCTACCCTACAGCATCCTCTTCTTCCACACCCACCGGCTCCCCCTTCCCAGAGCCTGCTCACCCGCCTTGCTGGGCCCAGCGGTCTCCAGGACAGAGTCCTGAGCTGGGGGCCCTGGGCTCATGGCAGCCCTGTCTCCGACCACACCAGGCCTTTGGCCTGCGCTCCTCTCTCTGGGCCTCAGTTTTCCACCTGCCTAGACCCCGCAGACACCTGATGGCTTGTTCGGCTGAGGCAGGGGGCAGGGAAGCTGCAGTGGCAGCCTGGGGACAGCAGGGGAGAGCAGATGGCCCTCATCTTTGTGACCAAGGAAGCCAGGTCACCCCAGCTCAAGTATGAGCCCTGCACGTCCTGGTGGGGAGGCTGCTCCTTCCTGAGCCTCGGGTTTCCTCCCTCTAAAGTGAGGGTGAGGAGAGACCCAGCCTCGTGCTGCTGTAAGAACGGAGGTGGGAGCTGGTCGGCCTGGCCCCCCTGCCCTGTCGGCTGTGATTGTCAGCCAGGCTCAGAACTGCTCCACACCGCGGCATCCCTGGGCCACAGAGCCCAGGTAGGCAGGAGCGGCCAGCCCTCCTCGCTCGCCCTACAGGTCCCCCAGGCCTCTGGCCAAGCCCGAGCAGGGTCCAGGCACAGCCTCGGCCCTGCTCCACCCCCCCACAGGATCCGCTCCAGGGACAGACAGGGCCCAGAGGAAGCTCCTCACAGAGGGGAAAGGCTTTTGGGGATAGTCCAAGCCAGCCTGTGCAGGCGAGGCCCAGAGAGGGGCTGCCACTAGACGGCGGTCACACAGCCAGTCTGCCTGGGGCAGGGCCAGAACCCTGGGCTCCATTCAGGTCAGCCCAGGACTCGAGCTTTACAGGGAGGAGCTGGCAAGGACTAGGCTGGGAACTGCAGTCTCGGCTGAAAAACGTGGGGCTGGAGGAGGCAGGGGTGCAGTCTCTGGGGGCAGCGGGCAGAGCCAGAGCCCTCGGCAGTTAGTCCGAGACGCCTGGGGAAGATGGCTGTGTCACCTGCTCGTCACGGGAAGGAGGGAGGTGGCGGCTGCGGTTTCTCTTCCTGTGAAGAGATGTGTGTCCCCAGGGCCCTCCCAGTTCCGGCAGGAGGAAGGGTGGTGGGGCCGCGGCGGGGAGGGCATGAGGGGCCTGGCTGTCAGGGCCATCCCTGGGCCTCAGGGCCCTGTGGGAGGCGGGAGGCGGGAGGCGGGAGGCGCAGCTCAGGGTGGCTGTAGCTAGGGTCCTGGGCTCCCGGGCTCTGGGCAATCAGGCCTGGGATGGCCTCATGGCCAATGATTCAGGACTGGGCGGGGCCACAGCCACCACCTCTCCCGTGAGTGCCACTAGCCATTACAAGGTGGCTCCCATCAAGCCAGCGACTTGCTGCCTTCCACGTCTGAGCCAGGCCACTTCCTAACTGTGTGACCAAAAAGCCACTTCACTGCCCTGGCCCAGTGATCTAGAGGCAAAGAGAAGTCTGGCTGAGAAGCCAGAAGGTTGAGGCAAGGGTGGTGAGAAGGAGACAGTAGGACACGAATCACCCTTCAAATCTGCTGCAGGGATGCCTCCTCCAGGAAGGCTTCCAGGAAAACCCGTTGGACTTGACTGCTTGTCCTGCAAGCAGCTGCAGCACATGTCACCACTCTCTGCTGCCATCGCCAAACACCACCCCCCTTGTTTGCAGCATCTGTCTGTGGGCATTGCTGCCACCACTGCCAGCTCACCCTGAGGGCTCCCGCACACCTGTGCTGCTCTGGTACTCTAACCCGTATACTGAGGTATATTAACCCGCCCAATTCTCCCAGCCACCCCCGGCAGGCGCTGTCACTGTCACCATGCTTCACTAAGGAGGAACCATAGGTTCAGAGAGGCTAAGCGATTCACCCAAGGTCACACAGCAGTGCACGGCGTAGCCAGTGTGAACCATGCAGCCGGGCCTGGAGCCCACATCTGCCTGGAGCCCACGTCTGCCAGCACCCAGCCCCACTCTGAGCCCGGCCCGTACCAATCTCCTTAGCCAGTGCCAGCCCCTGAGGGTAGGTGATGGGCGCCAGCTTCTTCTCCTTCAGCTTCTCGATGGTGTCCTTGTCATCCCGCAGGTCCAGCTTGGTGCCCACCAGGATGATGGGCGTACTGGGGCAGTGGTGACGCACCTCAGGGAACCACTGGGCAGAGGGGGCAGGAGGGCGTCAGGGACAGAGGGAACAGAGGGGCCAGGAGGGCGTCAGGGACAGAGGGAACAGAGGGGCCAGGAGGGCGTCAGGAACAGGGGGAACCGAGGGGGCAGGAGGGTGTCAGAGACAGAAGGGGCAGGAGGGCGTTGGGGGCAGAGGGAACGAGAAGGCATGGAGAACAGGTTGCAAGAGGGAAAGAAGGGGGCACGAGGGTTGGGAAGAGCCGGACGTTGCAGGGGCAGGAGGATGGGCTGATGAGTTTGTGCAGTAGGAGCGGGGCACAGGATCGGGGAAAAGAGGAGGCCAGGTGTGGGCAGAGGTGAGAGGCCCGCAGGAGGGCATGCAGGCGAGAGTGGGCATGAGGTTGGGGGGGGGCGGGGGGAAGGTGAGGAGCACAGCCATCCCAACCCTGCTCCCAGACCCCCACCCGGCTCCACCCCACCCCACAGTCCCGTCCACCGCCCTGGTCTGCACTGGAGCCCTCAGCCTGTGGCCTCTATAGCCCTGGGCACAGGCCACAGGCTGCAGGCCACTCTCTTCCCTCCCTCCCTCCGGGTGGCCTGCCCACGTCCCCAAGGCCCACTCTGCCCCCTCACCTTGGCACGGACATTCTCATAGGACGCTGGGCTGACGAGGGAGAAGCAGATGAGGAAGACATCCTGGGGACAGAGCAGGCAAGGTGTCCCCCGGGCCCTGCAGCCTCCCCCGCCTGCTGCTCAGGCCCAGCAGCTGTTGCAGGCCAGGCCTGGCCCCTGTGGCACACCCCTGCCGCAGGCGCTGCGCTCGACCCACCCTGCACACGGGGAAGCCAGGCCGGCCAAGGCTGAAGGCCGTCCTGAGATGCAGCCTGGCAAGGGGGGCTGGGATTCCAGACCCCCAACCAGGTGCTGTCCCGACCCCTCCTTGCCCACCAGAGGGAGCACCAAAGTCCCGGGGCCTGGCAGCCCTGCCCCCTCCCTCAGCACCCTGGGGCTCACCATCCTGGACCCTCCCCTGGGAGCCTCGGTCTGAGGCGTGGGGAGAAGGGCACAGCGACAACAGGGCCTGATGCAGGGCAGACGGGGTGTGGGGAGTCCCTGGCTCTGCCCAGGGAGGTGCGAGGGAACCTCCTCGAACTGGTTCTTAGTGGGAGAGTCAGGGTCACCAGGCTGGGTAGGCTGGAAGGGCACCCCAAGCAGAGGGAACCGAGAGCGCGAGGGGGCAGCCCACCGTCTGGGGGTAGGAGAGTGGCCGCAGACGGTCATAGTCCTCCTGCCCGGCCGTGTCCCACAGCCCCAGGTTCACCGGCTTGCTGTCCACCATCACGTTGGCTGAATAGTTGTCGAACCTGTGGGGTCGGGCAGGACAGAGGCAGGCCACACTCAAGCCCACAGCCCGGGGGCTTCCCGTCCCGCCCAGGCTGTTCACTCAGGCTGAGACCAGAGAGGGGCTGTGACTGCCAAAGCCACTCAGCACTAAGCCGTTGAGTTTCTTTTTATCTTTACTGACACCTTATACCGGAAGGTTTCAGTGCGAATAAACAAAAGAAGGACATGTTAGCCCCATCATTTTTCTGCCCGTAAGCGTCCAAGCGGTAGAAACCGTGCACCGTCCTCCACGCCTGGATCAGAACCAGCGTCGGCCACGTCCTGGCCTGGGCATGGGCTGCCATCTAGTACTCGGTGAGCGACGTTCAGTCCCACCCTAGGGCAGCTCCCCCCAGAGGCGAACCCTGAGACAAGGGGTGGTGCAAGTGGCTTACTTGGGATGTGACCCCAGGAAGCCGAGGGAGGGGAGAAGGAAGGGCTGGCAGCCAATACGGGGAGCTGTTGGGCTGTCACTACTGAGGTCACCCCACAGGCAGCAGGGATGAGCTCAGGGCACCCCGGCGGGGACAGGGGGTAGCAGAGGGCTGCCTGGGGCTTTTCCACCTGCCCTGGAGGGTGCAAACGCCATTGCTCTTGGCCCTCGGACGTGCCACAGCACACACTACAAGGCACAGGCCGAGGGATGGGGAGGCACCAGCGGCCGCTCAGCTCTCCCTCCAGCCCGTGAGGCCCGCAGGGCAGTGAAGGCCACTGCAAGGCGAACTCGGCGGGCACCCGCTTCCCCTGGGTGCCTGCCGGTGCAGGGCGGGTGAGGACCACGGCCTGACAGCCCTCAGGCAGGCAGGTGACCAGGTCCTCAGAGAGGGGAAGGGGCCCAGGACTCCCAGCTCAGAGTCAGGGGGGTTTTGGAGAGCAAGTTCTCATTACTCGTACCCCTAAGGGAGGGCGCTGGCTCCTCGTGCCAGAGAAGACTGGGATCGGAGAGGTGCCGTGACTTGCCCAAGGCCACACAGCCACCGAGTGACCTAACCAGGTGGGCAGTCATCTCTGTGTGACTCCAGACCAGTGTTCCCTGCCCACACCACAGCTGTGCCTCCAGGGATAGCTTGTCACTGTCCCTGAGGGATCCATATCACCCGAACCTACTCAACAAGGTCCCCCACATGGCGCTGCTCCTTGTCTCCTGACCTGCCTCGCCAAGACCTTAGGCTCCTCTGGCCTCTCCTCCCACTCCTCCTGTGCCCGGCCATCTCTTGACAAGGCCACCTGCCACCTCCCTGTGCATGTCCGCGCTGTGCTCCTGCCCAGAGCACCCTTCCCCTCTGCCACTAGCCCAGGGTCCCCACCTGGCCACGCTGTCCAGGCTGACCGCCGCTCCAAGCCCTGCATCTGTCCACCCCTCTCTCTGGAACCCCTCCACCCCCTTTCACTCCTGCCTTCTATTCATGCTTCAAAACCCTTCCCAGACACGTCCCTGTCCCCACCTGGAAGGAGCCCTCTTTCCCCATCCTCGACTGCTTTGCCTTGTCCCTGAGCAAGCATTGGTGGGTTTCTGTCCCTTCAAGGGCTAAGGCTGCATGTGGGGCCCATGCCTGTTCCACCTCCTGGACCCCAGCAAGTACAGGTGGGACAGAATCAGACCAAACTGAACTGAAACCCAGCAGAGCCACTTCCTCCAGGAAGCCCTCACTAAACGCTGCTCAGTGTCAGGCTGCAGAAGCCCTGATGCTTCAGAGTAACACACAGGACTTCTCTCCTGAGAAGAACCCCCATCCCCAGAAAAGCGTGTGTTATATCCTCCTGCGTGTCGTACACTGGGCTGTCCCTCCCTGGAGAGTGTCCCTGTCACCCCAGAGTCCCTCAGACGGCCCTGCCTACTCTTCTCTGAAACCCTGTAACTTCCCACTCTCTCTTTCCTTCCTCCTCCTCTGCCAGACAGATCTTACACATCCAGTGACCCCAGCTCAATGTCACCTCCTCCAGGAAGCCTTACTGGACCCCCAGGGGGGTGAGGGCCACCGCTCCTCCTCAACTAGCACTCTTTGGTAGACTCAGCACTCCAGACGGCAGCCGCTGGGCCTGGCGTGAGCAGCCCAAGGTCTGGGATCTGCAGAGTAGGTGCTGCTGCCACTCCCTGGGCTCGCCCATGCCAGGGCACTGCAGGGTGAAGGCGCTACGGAGAGACTTGGTGGGTATGGTGGGAAAACGTGTCTGTGTGGGTTCCCGCTTCGACCAGAAAGCACATCCCAGGCACCAGCATGGGGTGCCAACATCAAGTCTTCCCACAGCCGTTCCCCCGAGGGTTCTCGTGCCTCTGGGTCACCCCAGAACCTCTGGGCCATGGCAATGGGACCCTTCACAGCACCGATCACCTGCTCTGGGGCCAGGCAGAGGGTGCGGCCTTTGCACACGAAGTCCCGCGTAACCCAAACCGTCTAACAGTTTGGGAAACTAAGGCCCCAAGGAGCCAGTGACAACCAAGGCCAGCCAGCTCCTGGTGCAGGAGCCGGAATCCGAGCCTGTTCCTCCTGGGACCCCCGTTAGTGGGTGCGCTGACAAACTGCAGGACAGCCGTCTGGGGTAGGGAGGGAAGAGGGATCCCTGTGAAGCCACATCCTGGTTGTGCGACCCTGGACAAGTGACCTAGCTTTTCTGAGCCTCACTGTGGGAAAAAGCAAACAAAACACAACAAAAACTCATCCCTTGGGATTACTGGGAAAATCCAGAGAAACAGTCTGTTTGAACAGCCCCGTTGGGAAATGCCAAGGGCCGAATGAGCCCACCTTCCACGCCCACGAGTGTGCCCCATCAGGGCCCTCCCCAGAGGACCAGCTGCCAGAGCCCCGGGGACGGCCGCAGGGGTGCATCAAGGCTGTGCAGCTCTCAGGGTTTCCCGTACCCAGACCCGCAACCAGCCTGGACCAGAGGAGCCCTGCAAGCCACCGTGGCCAGCCCTGAGCCCCACTTTCCAGATGAGGAAACTGAGGCTCCCAGACAGGAAGGGACCTGCCCCAAATCTCCCAGCCAGTTGGTGGCAGAGCCAGGGTTAGGTCCTGTCACCCATTCAGAGAAGCCTACGTGTGGGCATCACCGCTCACAGTGGGCCCTTCAGAGGCAGAGCTGGAGAGGCAGAGCTGGAGAGGCAGAGCTGAGAGCTGCTGGTGGTGGGCCCAGCCCCAGCCCGGGTGCGAGAGGGGAGGAGGAGGCGAGAGGGGCTCAGTGCTCAGGCGTTACCTGACCAGCACCACGCCCCCCATGGAGGGCCCCAGAGACTGTGGGGCATGTGCGACTAGTGACCTGAGGACAGGGTGGACTGCCAGCTTGGGGGACGGGGATAGGAGCACAGCAAGGAGGCAGGTCTTGGCGTTGTCAGCGTGCTCCCTATTGGAGCTGAGCCTGCGCCCTTCTGAGGCAGCCCGGGCGTGCCCTGCCCTCTGGCGGGGAGTGCAGGCCTGCTCTGGAGATGGTGCCACGACATCAAGACAGACAAGGGCTCGTCCTCAGGGAGCTGCAGGGACGGAGCCGCGGGACACAGTGGGACCAGGATGGCTGGCTGTAAGGGAATCCCGCAGGGTGTGGGTTGGAGGCCCTGGTGGGGGCTGCTTTAGGCAGGGCTGCAGGGAGGGAGCTGAATGACTGCAGGTGACAGCAGGGACAGTGTTGGTGTCAGAAGTTGGCGTGCAGGTGCTAGGGAGGCAGCCTGGGCGTGAGAGCTGTGGGCAAGGGGGTGCGTGGCAGATGAGGCTGGGGAGGAGGGCTGCAGTGGGGGCTTTGAACACCAGGATTGGAGACGGGTTCACGAGCGAAAGGGAGCCCCAGGGGACTTAAGCCAAGATGGCGCTCTTTCACTTCTAAAAGCCGTGCTTCCTTCTGAGCATGACTGTAAGGAAGTGAGCTGGAAGGGCACCGAGGGCAGGAGCTCCCTGACACATCTCTGTACCCTAGCACCCAGCATGGGCTCACCCGTACAGTGAGTCTGCCCATCTGCGAAAAGGGGGTTCTGATGCAAAGGGAACCCTAATAGAAGGTCTAGGATATGAGCAACCAGGCTGGAATGCCATGGCCATGGGAGACCAAGTTAATCCCATCCAGTCACCCTCAGTGTCTCCATGTGCACTGCAGGGCAGGCTGACCACCCTCTGATAGAATGGGGTGGGAGGGTAAGAGCCAATCAGAGATCAGCCTCGCAGGTCCTGGCACCTTACTGGCTGGCCACTGGGCAGCCCTCCCTCAGCCGGCAACCAGAGCTCAGGTGGCCATGATGGCCTCTTGGACCTGGTCCCTGTAGCACCTGCCTCCCCACCCCTCAGGAGCTCCCCCAGCTTTACCTTAGATGCCAGAAATCACAGCTGCCTATTTTCCCAGCTTCTCTCCCTCTTCCTCATGTCCAATGTCAAGGGCCCTTATGGCTCGTTCTCCCCTCCCTGGCCCAGGAGGCCAGGGTGGCAGCAGCAGGAGCCCCTCTAGGGTCTTGTCCCAGGTGGAAAAGAAAACCCAGGAGCGTGGGTGCAGGGCCCGCTGTGAAGCTTGCAGGGCCCAGTGCAAAATGAAGCACAGAGCCCCTTGCTCAAGCGTATTAAGGGTTAGGCAGGTGACATCAGAGCATTAAACCAGGCGCAGGACCTCTGAGCGTGACACTGCACAGAGGCACAGCCATGCCGCCGCCCTGACGCGAAGCTCCGGCCAGGAAGGAAGACCTGGTCTGGTCCTCTCTGCCAGCTTCTGTGAAGTTGCCCAGGAAAGCTGGTCTACTAGGGACCTCCAAGTTGCGGAAAGCAATTGGCCCTAGCGTGGCCTGGGCAGCCCCCACCTTCCATCTCCCTGCCCAGAGGAGGTGCCGTGCACGGAGGCCGGGATCTTCCAGCCCAGACCCTCCTCTGAGAGAAAGGAAAAGAGGGTCAGAGAGGGGAAGTGACGCTCCAGGGCCCTTCAGCAAGTGGGATCTCCAGCCCACCCAGGACAGGCAGGGGCATGACAGGGTGCGGAGCCGGCATCTGAGACTTAGGGACACAGGCGATGACAGGGCACTCCTGTGCTGGTGACCGTGTACGAGGGCAGTGCTGCCTGCTCGGCACCCGCCTCCCGGCTCAGGCACAGACAGCTGTCGGCACGGGCAGGTGCCTGATCCACCTGCTGTTGAGGATGAAGGGGCAGGAATCTTCGAGAGACATCTGATCGTCACTCTGGGGAGGGAGAGATAATTCTGGCAAGATCAGAAAGGCTTCCTGGAAGAGGCGGCCCTGGGGGCTTTAGACACATGGATTTGGTGGGGGAGGGGGGGACAACAGGCAGAGGGGACAGCCTGAGCGAAGGCCCTGAGAGATGGTTGGGGACCAGTGGGGCCAGAAGCAGTCAGAGTAGGAAGCGAAGGTGGGCTGTGAAGCTGGGGTGAGGGAAGACCAGACGGGGCCTTGAATGCTGTGCAGGGACTTGTCTGAGTGATGGGGCCACTGAACACTGCTGGGGGGGTCTGCTGTTGTCCCCCAGGAACCTCCTTGCGCCTCCCTCCACGGCCACGCCCCCCACAGATGAAGGCCTTCCTCCTGTCAGCGTCCTGTGACAGAGGGCGGGGCTTCGGATGGGCCTGCAGAGGTCTCTGCTCTCCGCCCCTGCAGTCTCTGCGCCTCCTCTCCCCTCCCCTCCCCTCCTCTCCCAGCTTCTGCTCAAAGCAGCCCACTCCCCCTCCCTTTCCCTAGAGACCCAAGTCAGAGCCTCCTCCTGTCACCCCATGATGCCGCAGCCTCTCTCCGTTCTGGGCCCCCAGCCGAGTCATGGCCAGTCATGGGCAGCCATGGTCAAGGCTGCGACTACCCTCACCTGATGGCCTGACCACCCCCCCCAAGTGCCCACATCAGTCCCGGAGCACAGCCAGTGCCCGAAGGAGGCCACCCTGGGACTGCGTGTCCCCACGCCCTGGGCACTCACACGGTGGGGATGTACTCTCCGGGGAAGGCGTTGGTGGTGTAGCTGATGAGGAGGCAGGTCTTGCCCACGGCTCTGAAAGACAGGACACACCAGGGGACAGCGGTCATGGGCCCTGCCCCAGCCGGGAGCTTTCCAAGCACCTGCCTGGTCTGACCCAGGTCCCCGCGCCTGGCTCTCACCTTCCAGCCTGAGATGCCTCAGGTCAGTGTGCTCAAGCCCAAGCTCCCCAAGGCTTAGCCGAGGTGTTTGCTAAAGTGCAGACTCCAGGGGCCCGCCCTCGGCTGGGTGGGCAGAACTGGGAAGCTGTGTCTAACAGGCCAGCCCTGCGTCCGAGACGCGGGACAGAGGGTGACCAGGTGTAGGCCTGACAGTGCCTGGCCCAGGCTCTACCTCACACCCTGGGTTCCAAGGCCCAGCTCCACCTCCTAGCAGCAGCACAGCTTTGGGTATGTCACTTAATCTTCCTCTGCCTCGGTTTCCCCATCTAGAAAACGGGTGAGTCCGTCCTCACAGCAGGCTAGAGGTCAGCCAGACAGTGCTGCATTGCAGTGCCGTGACTCCGAGGGGAAGCCTGGCCCTCCCTCCTCACCGAGGAGCCTAGTGGTGACATGCATGAGTTTTACAGCCAGAGACCTGGGTTCGAACCCCGTGGAGTCTTGGGCAAAACACTTCACTTCTCTTAGCTAAGCTTTCGTTTCCCACCTGCCGAATGGATCTAATGTCAGGGGTGGTGGAGGCCGAAAAAGAGCGGGATGCTGGGCACAGAAGTGGTCAGTAAAGGCCCTGCCAGGGGCCGTGCGTCCCCCTCAGCCCGCAGGCTGGGCGGGCCCAGGTGACAGCAGGAAGCGGAGGGGCCGCAGGGCAGCTCGGGGCTTTTCCCCTACCCTGCTTGGTTCCGTCACTTCCTGTTCCAGGAGGCTGCTTGTCTTCTCCTGGCCTTGCCTCCACCCCCTTGGCCTGCCACCAAGGTAGCTTTGAATGTCGGGGACACGGGGACATTACCCTGACTTCTGTACCCTCCTCAGAGAGCACAAAGCAGACGTGAGCAGGGTGGGCGGTACGGGCAGATGAACCTGAGCCGCCTACCCCGAGGTGTGGGCACTGGGACCCGGGCCTAAGACACTGTCACTGGCCCACACCAGAGTGACATATTGGACCTGCCATCTTACAGATGAGGACGCTGAGGCCCCAAGGGACATGACAGCCCCAGAGCACTGAGATCTGACAGCCCAGCCTGCGCCCCCACCCCA